TCTTTCCTCCTTCGAAGCCATCTTCGAAGCTAGCTGCGAAGGCCACTGCTTGGTCCTGACTTCATGCTTTAGGCCTAACTCAGGCCTTCGATGAAGGTGTCCACTTTCTGTCTTGCGTGAGGCTGGTCTAGGAGGCCAATCTCTGGCTTTGATCCCATAACTGAAGCTCTCTCCAATCTACTCTCAGAATGACTGCTCTCCATTCTGTAATAATTAGGCGGCCTGGACTCATGTAAAGGCCTCTTGCCTTTGGAATGCATCCTATCAGCTGTTGGTTCAACCCTCAATGGCTGCTGCCTGACACCAGATGAATATGGCCTTTTATTGTAAGCATTGGTTGGTTTAGGACGTCTCTGCACATCCTTGTAGTATTGTTTCCCATCAATTGGAAGTCCTTTCAACCACTTGTAGTTTAGTCTGCACCTAGGACACATCCTCTGCATTACAACTGCTTCTAAGGAATCGTCATCCAGTGCTTCTTCCTTAGAGTCTTCCCTCTGGTGTGAGAAACCTTGTCCAATAGCTGGTAGATTTCCAGTGTCTTTCTTGATAGTTGTCTGGTTGGCCACATGCATCTGCACATTGACTTCTTCCAATTCTTTCAAAGACAGGTTTTGAAAATTCAGCATAATGACATTGGTTGCCACCTCTCCAATTTCTGGAAATGGATTACTGTCGATCCCCATGGCCTTTTTAGCTTTGGCTGGGAATTTCAAACTTCCTTTCCAAATTTGTTCTTGGATCCTGTCCCGAAAAACAATACAGTTCTTAGTCGAGTGAGACCAAGAATTATGTCATTTACAATATACTTTTCCTTTAAGTTCATCAAGAGATGAAATTTTAACCCCTTTTGGTAACTTAAGGAAGTTGGCCGCAAGCAAATGATCAAAAATGTCATCTGCCTTAGTTAAATCAAAAGAGTATTTCCTGTGAAGGTCCTTCTTTTTAAACTGCTGGTCAATTGTTGTATCCTTATGAATTAATGCTTCACAGATCACAGGTTCTTTCCCCACAATCTCTGCTGCATCAATCTCATAGTTAGGATCTTTGTAGTATGTCTTGTATAATGCATTATTTCGATCTTGTTCCTCTTCTAGTAATGCTTCATACCTAGATACTTTATAAGTCAGTTCCACTAAGTCCCTGAACTCTATTGAGTCAAACTTCTTCCGAAGCCTAAACTCTAAGCCATTTTGAGCCAATCTTACGAATTCTGGCTCTGGCAAGATGTCTCTACATTTATTTCGAGCCCTTTTAAATCTAGCAATAAACTGAGTAGCCTTCTCTTCAGGCCTTTGATTCAATCTTGCTAGGTCTGCCATGGAAACCTCTGGCTCCGATTGGAAGAATTAGGCATGAAATGCCTCTTCCATTTGTTGCCAAGTTTGGATTGAGCCAGGTGTAAGGTTAATATACTATACAAATGCTCCCCCAGTTAGAGAGTTTGGGAGCAGTCTCAGCTTCATATAGTCATTATTAGTAAATTCACCACATTGAGCAGCAAACCTAGCAATATTCTTTACTGTTGATTGGTTTCCATTTCCATAAAAAATGGCGAAATCTGATATTCTGAAACCTCTTGGGTATTCATGTACCCTATCTACCCATTCCGGGTATGGTTTTCTGTACACAGGAGTTTGGACCCCCCGAGCCATCGGTCCACACATCTCCCTAACGATGTCAGCAATTTGGTCCCTAGGAACCATATTTTGTGCCTGCTGAATCACCACTGGGGGAAGGAACAAACACATGATTTGGTGGGTAAACTTGTGCCTGTGGTCCTCTTGGTCCATAAGGTGGTATATTTGGAACTGGTTGCCCCTGTGGTGCAGGTTGCTGTTGGGGGTGTGGGTAACCCCTTTGAGCCTGTCCTGCGAAAGGACCTGCGAAAGGTGTTGGAACTGGTATTGCATCCCTTCTATTTGTAGGAAAACCTTCTAACCCCCCGGATATGAATTCGAATAAGGGATTAGTGAAATCCCTTGTGCCAGGTATGGCTTCAAACATGGGATTTGGAACAATTCTTATGCCATTTTCTTGTGCTGGGCCAGATCCACCAAATTGCATGGCTTCACTGTTAAGTACTGAGGCATTTTGACCTACTATAGGCCTCAGAATAGGCTCGTACCAAGATTGAGGTGATGGTCTTTCATAGTTCTGATTACTAGTTTGACCATTAGAATGTCCATTAACTTGCATAGGCTGTTTATCTCTAGCCAATCTTGGCTGAGGGACATTCGAAACTTCCTCCATGTGTCTTACGTTTGTTACTTGGTGGTTATTCATTCGATCCAAAAAGGATGTTGCTCATCTTTCCATTGTATTCATTAATTGCTGTCCCATTGCATCTATTAAGCCACTCCATGGATTTATTGGCTGAGTAGATGGGACAGTGGATGGTCCAATTCCTTGGTCTCGTCCAACATTACGAACATGTGGTACTTGTTCTGAAGTACTGGTCTGTTCGACTATAGGTTCTGATAAAATGGGAGTTTTCACAGGATGTGTTATCACATTATCCTCTGTATTAAGTATCTCTACCTCTCCTTCCACGCCTTCTTCCAAGCGTTCATTTTCTCACTGTCTCCTACGTCTAGCCATTTCAATTAGTCCCACTGGGCGTGCCAAAAATATATGTTGGCTTTTTAGCTTTCGAAGGATATTATTGTAATTATGAGCGTGCCAGCAAGGATTAATCAGTCCTTACAGAAAATTAATTGCCAACCAATTATTAGACGATTGCGTTTTAGTTCTTTCAGCCTCAATGAAGAAGACTTTTACTGGTGGCTTGATTTAGGAGAATTAAGCAAAATAATAATTAAATGAAGAACAGTTGAAGTATTTCATTAACATGAAAAAGCTTACAATGACTCAAACTCAGTCTCGTAGAGGTTTACAGCAACAATCTACTTGCAACTACTCCTATGAACGAAGTGCAGTGCAGGAATTTAAAATACAGAAAATGTAAGACTGAAAATGTAAAACTGAAATAAGTATAATAAGGCTGGTTTTTTGGATCTGAGTCTGGGGGGTTTTTCTAGGGCCTTCTCAGTTATTTATGCTGCTCAAGGATGACCATCGAACTGCATCTCTAACCGTCGAACTGCACCTCCATGATCGCTGATCATATTGCCTCAAGATTAGCTCCATTACGCCATTACTTACAGTTAGGCTTCCCTTCTCAATTTGAATTTGAAATGTGAGTAACTGTTGAAGCCACATCACCTTTCATCTCTTTGTTGATCCGCTCATACTCAGATCTCGTAATAACTAATACTAATTGCCACGTGTACAATCAGGATCAAAAACTTGAATAGTCTTCCCATATTATCCTTATTTTGTCACGCGTCGAATTGTAATTGGCTTGTACAAAATATATAGCCAACATGTATATAAAACACTTGAAAATTGAAATTTATTTTCTACATCATGTGTTTTTATGTAGATTAGTAATACTATATCAGCGATATTATTATTATATTAAATTTTTATTCAATAAATCCATATTAACGATTGGTGGAGATTAAGACACGTGTACCCTTGCACTACCTAATAATTTTTGATTCGGTGATCCTCTCCGCAGATAAGAACACCCACTATCACTTTAGTCACTACTCTCGACTCGCATTCCTTGTAATTCACACACTATCCTCATTGCGTTACCTGCCGTCTAAGTCAAGACAAATTGATATCAGTCTCTCTGTTGATCTTCCACCTGTCAATTACACCCACGTGTATCCATCTGATCCCTCGAAAACAACACGTGCAAATCCAACGGCACACCAACCACCTATACAGCAACAACGATGTTACTACTTATTTTTGACTAGTTAAAGTAGAAATCAAAAAAAAAAAAAAACTTTATTTTATTTATATATTTCAACGTTATTTTTTATTTTACGCAATCATACATATATTATTTAATGAGTTTTTAAAATTCTCTAAATATAATTAATTTGAAAATATTTTGTTAAAATAATTAACGTAATAGCTAGTTTATTAGAGAAAGTAAAATGGAAAATTTTATTATATACACTTTCACACCATATGCATCTTTAGTTATGACTAATTTTTATTTTTAGATATGACTAATTTTTTTTAATTATGATATTATTTTGTGATTTTAGTTGTGATTATTTATTTATTTTTTTGTGTTTAGTTATATTTTTTTTTAGTTTTGACTTCTTTTTTTTTGTGTTTGGTTATTATTTTTAAAACTCAAAACTAATTTTCTTCTTTTATTTTTTTTAATTATGAAATTATATCATTTTCTTTGTAATTATAAAATGCATATAATACACACTTTTTAAAAGATGTGTACCATAGACTTTCGCAAGTAAAACAAAACGAGACTAAAAATATTTTAAAAAATATTATTTTAATAATTTTTTAACCTTTTATATGTAAAAAATTAAAAATAAAATGAATCGAAACAAGATAAAAACACAAAAAATAAACTACTTTAGTAGCGCCCCAAACAACCCCTAATATAATAACCAGCTGGTCTCTTTTGGGAAACTCATTAGAGATGCCAATGTCAAACATTCCAATCTTTGGATTACTAAAAGTTTGTCCGATTGTTAACTTTAGAGTATCTAAGGTCTTGTTGGGAAAGAGAGTTGGGTTAAAATAGTTTACTAGAAGACAAAATAAATTAAAATAGTCAATATATTAAAATGTCATATTCAACTCATAATTATTTTATTTTTTCTATCACAACTATTAAATCAATTAAAAAAAACTAACCAACCTCCCAAACACAATTATTTTAGCCAAATTAAAATAGTCATAACCAATTAAAATAATAAAGTTCTCAAATAAAATCTAAATTAGTCGAGATGCTAGGTAGGAAGCTGATTCTACAATTTTTTAAATAAAAAAAAATTAAATAAATAAACTTTGGACTACAGTAAGCTACGCGGAGACAATCGCTAGATATATATAAGGGGGCGGACACTCTTCGGCTAAACTTCCTTGCAAGACCACCGTAAAATCGGGCATGAGGCTGAGATCGAAAGCTCTCAAACAGTAAAAACGCCATATAGAGATAGAGAACTGGCGCTTGGAAAAAAGCTTTAAGAGAGAGAAAAGTATTGGATACAGAGAGAGAGAGAGAACACGTAGACGAATATGGTCCGTGTATGCAATGAAGGATACAGGGACGAAAACGAGCCTTCTCTCTCCATTTAGCCTCCTTCTCTTCCATTCTCATCCTCTATTCACTCTCTTCTCTTCTTCTTCTTCTTCTTCTTCTTAATCGATTCACTCTCTCTCTCTCTCTCTCTCTCTCTCTCTCACACACACAATGATAAGCGAGTCTTCATCATCGGGATTGAACTTGGAAGGACTCGAAGATGTCGAAGAGTTCGCCGGGGTGAGTTTTTCTCTCCAACTTTCTTTCCTTTGTTTGGTTGCTGAGAAAACGTAGCTGTATTAACGAAATCAAAAGTTTTATTAAAAACTTTATTTTGATTGGGAGAATATGAATTGAAATGCGCAGACTAGCGAAGGAGACTCCTCAATGTCGTTGCAACGATTTTGTCATGTTTCTGATCTCATGCAGATGGGGAACCAAGCATTCCGAGAGAATCGCTTCGAAGAGGTGAAGTCTTCTCTCTCTCTGCTCCAGTTTGAGTTACGTTTTTGGGCGTATTTGTGGTTTCTTTGAATTGTACTTGAAAAAAATGGTAATTCAAGAGCAGACTTGTAATTCAGTAGTCGCAACCAAATTGCTGTGCAGAATGAATAATCTTGTGATGTGTTTCAAACAATCCTCAAAAAGTGAATTTGGGAAGTATGATGGTCATGTGTGAACTGACAAGCAAACTAGTGATATTGACCTTTGAGGGTTGTTGGTTTTGGAGCCTCTGTCTCTATGCCTTTTGTTTTCATTTCCAAAATCTTTGGAATGAATGATGAGGTTTGTAGTAACATAATGTTCTTTGATGTGCTGACTGTGGTCAGGGATGTGGTGATTTGAGGGTCTTATAGGGGTAGGAAGTGGAGCTGGCAACAATTTTTTGTGATGTTTATTCTTTTAAGAGGTAATTCCATAATAGTCCTATGAAATTTTTCCTTCAACTTAATAGAAGTTTTATGATTACACGACACCCCTAAAAATACACTCCTCCATTCCATCCATCCCGCTCTAATTCTATGGGCCACATCATCCTCAATGTCTCCATCTTTATGAATAACTGATCCAAGATCCATAAATGCATATATATATATATATATATTTTTTTACGTATCAAATTTTCTTATCTCACTGAAATCTATCGATTTCTTGTGTAGGCAATCAATTGTTACTCAAGAGCTAATAATATTAAACCACGTGATCCTGTCATTCTCAGCAACCGATGTGCAGCTTATCTCAGGTTAAATGTTGTTTCATGATTATGTTTCCATTATTAGTTTTTGTTCCACTGACATAATTCAGATGAATCTTAATTATGGAACTTTTTACTATTGTAATAGATTTGTGTACTGATAACAATTTTTTGGTTTTGAACTTCAACTAGGATTTGTCAATTTCTGAAACACAGATCTCCATTAGCTTCTGAACATAACCCATTGAGTGGACTGGATCCTACAACACATGCTGAAGTATGTCTTGTTGATTTTTTTTGTGAAAAATTGATTTTTCCTCCCCATATCATGACTATTGCACTCATTATTAAAATGCATTTAATCATCATTTCAGCTTGCTTTAAAGGATGCTGAGAAGGTGATGAACTTTCAAAGTGATTCAATAAAGTCACACATTTTGAAGGCCAATGCACTCATTTTGGTAAGAGCACCATATTGTATTTTAAATCCCACATTTCTAGAGGTTGATCTATGCAAGCATGCAAAGCTTTCGGCAGTTAAGATTTTAAACATCATGATGTCTAAAATCCTTCTGAACCAAATAACCCAACCAAGGGATTGTACTTTGACTTCTTCCCTTTCCAGAGCAAATTCAACAGATTGCTTCATGAAATCTGTTTCTTAAACTCGTATAGGACTTTATTCGCACACAGTATGTTAAGGGGCAAAACTTAAGTGCTTGCAAGGAGAGGAGGTGATAATCTAACAACTAACTACTAACTTTTGCCGATCAAGGAAAAAGAATGGGGCTTTGTTTGCAGGCTGCATTGCCTCCAGCTGTACTCGTGTAGAAGTCCATAGTAAAAGCTGACTGGTTGGGTAAAGAAGGTGCTCAAGGTTTTTGTTGCATGGAATTCTGTATCATATGAAAATACTGAAAGTAAAAGCTGGCTCATTTTGAAAGAAGGTGCTGAGTAATTTATATCGTAGCGTATTTTGTTTATAGGGTGCAATTTCTTTGTGGTGAGAATCATCATAAGATGCAGTGCCTTTTAGGGAAGTGAACAACACTCTTGACCTGTGTTACATGGACTTGGGTATGGTCCGTATGAGAGTCGGGTGTGGGTATGTGTCTAAAGGACATGTGGACACATAAAGGTATTTTATTTCTAAATATCCAATAACATAAATTGATCCAAGCTACGAACATCAAATAAAACTAAACCTGAGTAAAAAAAATTAACTAAATCTTACGAAAGGTTTATCAGGCATGCCTGCAGTAGATGTTACACAAACAATCTGGAATTTTTTCATTACTTTCAATCAGTTGTTTGTTTCATTCTTATGTTCTGCCAAAGAAGTTCTAAGTTTTGTGATTAACAGATACTTTTTTCCATCCAATTTTATGTGTCGTAATTGACCTCGCATACAGTTTAAGGGAAGTCAAGAATCATAGAAGATTTCCAAAATTACCGTCACATTAACTTTTTTCAGGAATTGAGATTGCATTTTTTTTAATAACTGGGAATTGAGATAGAATTTATATTTGATTAGAAGTTTTGAATTTTCCAACTAAGACGGTACTTCAAAAGTAGAAAGTGAGGCACACAATGGGATGGAGTAGTTTGTAAGATACTTGCTGGGTGGATATTATCTTTCATAACTAATACCAGCTTTATATGAATTGGCAGTTAGAAAGATATGAGCTGGCCCGGGATGTCATTCTTTCAGGTCTTCAGGTTGATCCTATGAGGTAATAGTCTAGTGTGTAATTGGGTTCTCCCATGTTTTTCATATTGAAAATTAAGTCTGTGTTTTTACCTCTTTTACCATCCATTGGACATTTAGTGTTCCACATAATAATTTTTTATGGTGTTTGTTTCTGGTGATCTGTAGCAACCCTCTTAAGGTTTTGGAGAGAACAACTGCCAGCACAATTGGGAGGAGAGGCCAAAAGAAAGCTGAGCGCACTGATGACTTTGATTGCACTCTTTGCCTGAAGTTACTATATGAACCTGTTACAACTCCTTGTGGACATTCCTTTTGCCGCTCATGCCTGTTTCAAGCAATGGATAGAGGTATGCAGTTATATTTATATATGTGTGTTCACATATATTCATATATATTTATTGAAATTATTATGTCAACCTTTTCATTCTGACCCTTGAATAAATAATGCTAGGTAACAGATGTCCACTGTGCCGAACAGTTCTGTTTATTAGTCCCAGAACATGTGCAATCAGGTGAGTTAATTTAATTCATGCTTAATTGGAACACTTGCCTAAGCAATGTGACATAAGAGACAGCTTTGCTGTTCTCCGCATGCTTTTTGCATTTAGCATGTGTAGTTGATTCGGTAGGAGTCATTTATCCCACATGATAAAATTTTAGTCAGTAGAACCTCATTCGTCCATATTTTAATTTGACCATAGGAAGAAACATAAAATAGATGGAAAGGCACATGAGATTACTGAAATAATTTTGGGAAGGCTGACTGGAGATTTGGATCCATATAGCCGATCCAAGGTAGTTGGAATTAAGACTTCATGATTTTATTTGAGTTAATTTGGGTTGTACATTCTAACCTTACTCTTTGGCCTATTTTCTTGTTAATATTTCAGTACCTTCAATCTTCTTTATGTTGTCTATTGTATAACACTTGCTGGGCTTCGACAGTGTCACGCTAAACAACATAATAGAAAAGAACTTTCCCGAGGAATATGCTGAAAGGAAGTTGGAGTATGATAGTTTGACAAACTCTGGTGCTGATTTGATGCCTCTTTTTGTCATGGATGTTGTCCTACCATGCCAGAAGTTTCACCTCAATATATTTGAACCACGCTATAGACTTATGGTGAGCTGGTCAATTGATTGCTCTTTCTCACACATTTGGCTGCTATGTATTGGTTTACTGAACATGAGCAACATGGGTTTCAGCGTAACTTGCAGTCTTACTGTACACATTGGTTATAGTTAAGCACTGTGTTACACGGACTCTTCTATTTCCCTCACAATACCCGTGTCCACCGGATATGACATGGGTAAGGGTGTGGGATATGTGTCCGACGCTCGAACCCAATTTAGACACTCAGATCCTTTAATTTGTGACAATATGTGAAGAAGAAGAAACTCGTATTTGTTAGTAAAGCAATATTTTTAGGCTCCCACATGAATTAGATCTAGAAATTTTATATTTTTTTTGAATCATATTTAATTTCTAATATATTTCTACATAATTTAAAACATCTCATCCAAGAATATTATATAATATGCAATATATATGTGCATATGACGTGTCCCTGTACCCATATCCAATTTTGGATACATACCCCAAGATCCTAAGATTAAAATTTATGAAGGTTTGACGCTTGGATACACACCCGCACCCGACACTTCTACCCGAGTCCATGTAACATAGGTTAAGCAGTAACATGACAGAAAATTACTCTCTGTGAAAAAGCATAAAATTTATGTTCTAGTCTGTTATCTAATACTGAGTGAAATCTAAAGCAACTGGGTCAACTCACACCAGAATTGCCACTTGGCAAATGAGATTTCCTTATGTTTGGATCTTGTATTTGATGTGGGAAGGAAAAGAAAAGGGAAATGATATTATTTGTGCTCATTCATTTTTCAATGGGTAACCAAATGAAAAAATGGATTTCAAAGAAATGCCTATTCATTTTCTTCTCATTTTTCCAGCCCAACCAAACAAAAGAGAGAAATTTGGGTTCTGTCATTTCATTTTTATTTTCTTTTTTCTTTTTGTCCTTTGTCCTTTTTCCTTTTTCTTTCCCTTCAAAAATCAAAGAACCAAACATTAGTATTTTTTTTCCATGTTAAACAAAGCCAAGTCTTTTCCACCTTCTATTTGAGCTTTCTTGCTTGAGGCTGTTTTTATTACCCCAGATATGAACCACCCTCATTGGGGCCATTTTCTACCCAACAGTACTTCATATCCTCCTTGCTCTGTCTAAGATTGCACCAGAGGTAATGAACCAGGTGTCCTTTGTTTCTTGGTTTTTATTTGGCTAAGAACTCCATAGGTTGTATGCCAACCATAAGTAGCTTGAACTGTGATGGTCACCCCGTTAAACTATTTCCAATCCCCAAGATGCCTTTGGTTGGATGTTCATACATGATCCACCGTCTGCACTTCCTACATTCTCTCCCAACAATTGGTGATAACTGGAATGTCTCAGACTCGGTTAATTTATGTTTCACATAATTTATATTTCTTTGACTTTGTGATATAGAAAATAGTAGTCTCATTTTATGTATCATTATTTTTATTTTCTTAAATACTTGGATGACAGGTTAGGAGAATAATGGAAGGGAATCACCGTATGGGAATGGTAGATTTTTGTGACTGGTCCTTTCTTTCCCATTTCTTCTTTAAGGTATATTGGATGGTCCTGCATTCCCTCACTATTACTGGCTTTGGTCTGTCTATTAATGATGTAGGTTATCACTGATCCTACAACAGGATCCGTAGCTGATGTTGCTTGTGAAGTGGAGATTACTGAGTAGGTGTTATTGCTTTACAGAATCAGTATTAATTTTTATTTTTTAATTACATTTCATTCTTTTATATCCAATGAGTAATTTTCTGTTCTTTCCTACAGGTGTGAGCCACTTCCAGATGGACGTTTCTTTCTAGAGGTGAAATATCAACACATCTTAATGCTTATATCCCTTGTTATCCCTTTGCTTCCCTGCCTCACACAATGTTTTATCCTACCTGCGACAAAGCCTGAATCTCTTTGCTGCTGTTTTGAAAATCTTGTGTTTCTTGTCTATCCTAATTGGAACTTCCTGTCTTTTTTTCCTTCTTTATAATTGAAGAGCCCTCCAATTTTTTTTTACATAAGGGGAAGGAGCTTCTTGGTGGTGGATAACTTTGTGTTTGAACGTGGTTATTATCTTCTTTACATCTTTTCAATTCTCAACAAGCCATCACACATGACGTTACTTTTTGAAGTCTCTTGTTTTATTTTGTCTATTAGTGGGAATGCAGACTTCCTGTTAAATTCTTATATCCAGAAAGGCCTCCGTGCTGTGAGTTTTAGAGTTCACGCTGTTAGTCGAGTCCACATAGTCAGTGGCTTAGGAACTACAAGTCTCAGGTTACTCTTCATGCACTTACTGTTCGCATGTGGTTTACGGGTGTAGTGCGCATCGATGGGAATTTGTTTCTACTAAAAAATGAGTTGGAGAAACCTAGTGTAACAAAAACAAAGAATTCCTTCAGTTTGTTTGTTTGTTTTTTTTTTTTTTAATTTTTAAAATTTTTTTATTGGCAGCAAGATATTTATTTAGAATAGAAAAAGAAAGATACAAAATGTCGACGGAGGACAAGAAGTTCACCAACGAAAGTTTAAAACAAAAACTACATCTCACACACTGCTCTCCAATCTCTAGACATTAAAAGGACCTTTTTTGATGCTTCTTGACGTGGAGAAATCTAGTGTAACAAAAACAAAGTATTCTCTTAGGTTGAATGACGTGGAGAAATCTAGTGTAACAAAAACAAAGTATTCTCTTAGGTTGAAGCATGCTTTTGTTTCTTCTATAGAGAGAAAATACCACTTTGCTTGTTGAGCAATTGCATGTGGTTTAACTGTTCTTTTTTATGATTAAGAAAAACTAGGGAATAGTAGTTCCAGTAAACTTTGGAGGTGGTGTTTTAGTAAATTAAATTCATTTATTGCAAATCCAAAAATGGTCATGGTGAACCAAAGAAAGGTTCATTTGGGATGGGGGTTGGCCTTTTGACTTTTTGGCTATTTTAGCCTAGGGCTAAATAGTCTTGTTTGGGATAGAGTTTTGGCTTTTTTACTTTTGTGAGATAAAAAATGAAATGATTATGGTTTGCATGCGATGTTTTGTCTTATTGGATTAAAAAGTTTATTTTGTCTTTTTGTGGCTAAAAAAGCCAAAAAGTCAAAAAGCTTGGCATGTCAAACGAAGGCGAAGCATCATTTCAATATACACATCTATATAAATGCGCATATTCAGGTTGGGAAACTGCTTCTAATAGGTTTATGCAGTGTGATTATTCATTCAGTTGGTAGTAGAAGTATGTTTTTCCTAGGCTAATAGATAGTTTTGTAAAGCTAAATATTGAAAAACATCACATTATGAAATTTTTACTTTTTCTTCAAACCTTTTCAGTTACTGTCCAAATTAATTGAGGTATGTATGTTTTAAGTTGCTCACTCAAGCATTCCGGTCAACAACTATTAATGGAAAGGACTTCAATATCATTGTCTTAAGAGGTTGGATTTGTAATGAATGATTAGTGATGAACCTAGAAATTTTGCTAAGATATTTTCTTAGACTTTGAGGCCAAAATATATTGTCATAAATACTCCCGAAATAGTTTTTAGGGCCTAAGTGAAATTTGAAAAATTAGGGAGCCAGGTCAAATTTCTTAGAATTTAAGGGAGCCAAATACTATTTTGTGTCATAATATCCACAAAAACTATAAACTTAAGTGAAATTCTTAGAAGTTTGGAGGGCTATGTAAAAATTCTTATATGCATCATGCATTAAGGTGGCACTTAGACATTTAGGTTGTTTTTGGATCTTGGATTTGTGGAGGGGGGAAAAAAAAAAAGGAAAGGGAAAAGATAGGAAAAGAGAACGAAGTGAAGAATCTATTTCTCTCCTTTTTGGTTGGATAGGAAAAATGAGAAAAAAATGAATAGCTATTTATCAAAAAAATCTTCTTTTTTTTTTTTTTTTTGGGTTTAGTTACCCATAAAAATGAATATGTAAATGTAATTTCACTTCCATGGACAAAATTCATGATCCAAACATAGCATTTATGATAGGAGAGACACTCCGGGGACACTTCATTTGCCAAGTTTTTATTTTTTATTTTTTTCAAGTTTCATTTTGTAGTTTGTACATTTATCAACTTTGATTGTCTAACAAGGGTTCAATGTCATGCAGCTTGAAAGCCGCAGGAGATTCCGCATCCTACGTACTTGGAATCAAGATGGGTTAGTTTAATCACCACTTAGTGTCAAATATATGTTATGGTTGCTCTTCATATAATTGACATTTGATTCATTTGTCTGATTTATAAATTTGGCCTTTTGTTTTGGTCCCCCATGATATATGAAGGTATCGAGTGGCTGAAATTGAATGGATACATGATATATACCCATCAGAAGGAACAAGAGAGAAAACAGATGTAAGTGTTACTGCAATTTTGGATTACATCTTTCATTTGATTTATTAAAGATCAATGGAAATGCTAAAGGCATATTAATCTGTAGGACTTTTTTAAGGCTTTCCCGAAGTTAAGATGGTTCTAAAATGCCTCAAGGCTTACAAAACCAAGCAAGGGTTTTATTGAGCATATAACTAAAGCCAAGCTGGGACGCTAGGTGCAGCTTTTGTGGTTTTCTTTCCGTCGGTTCATGAAACCTACATGTCATGACTGATTTTTTAGATTTTTTTTTTCTTTAATTTTCAAGTGGCCAACATTAATCATTGGTTACTTTTGAATTCAACAAGAAGTTATTATTTTTTATTTTTATTGTTTTGTTTTATTTTATTAAAATATCCCTATTTGTGCAAATCGATTTACCATTTAAAAATAAAATTAGTTATTGATGGAATTTGCATTTAAAAAATGATAGAATATTAGTGTTTTTCTTTGTTAACTTTTCTAGCATGCTGTTGAGTTTTTAAAACCTGTTTTGTTTTATTATTATTTTTCTATCTTTTATTTTGTTTCTTTTTTTTATTCTCACACATTATATACACATAACATTATGAATGCATGCATAAATAAAAGTTAAACAACCAAAAGGCGCAGGCCATCTGTTTCAAGAGGGTTATGCCATGTTTTTTAGGGAGTTTAAATGGCTTGCAAAATGCTTTAGCTTTTGAAAGCATTGAACCTGCCATTAAAAGTTTCATTCCTTTTAATGCCATTGTCTAAAAAGATTCTAATGTGGAAGGTGGAAGTTGAATGATATCAGTCGCCCCTTAATTTTTTGTTTTTATTTATTTATTTTGTTTAAATGTTACCTTTGATTAATTTCTGGAATGTCACAGTTACAGGAATTGACAAATAATGCATCTGGATTTGCTCTATCATGGATGAGGAGGGCACGACAGGTAGCAGAACAACGACGAGGTAAAAACTACTACCAGAATTTTAGTAATTACTCTCTCCATAATTAAATTTATGGTAATGACAAAAGTATTTCCTACATGATAAAATTCTCAATCTTAACATTTCATAATTTTGAGTAAATGACTCCTAGTTAGGTTTTAGGATGCTCAATTTAATACATACAAGTTGATGACAATAACAACTATGATTAACCCTTCTTTTGGAGGGGGCACTTTGCGTGGGTCATGAGATTAGTTGAGTTGCATGTAAGCTGGCCTAGACACCCAATCATAAAAATAAAAAAGAAGTTTCTTTGAGAAACCTTTTTCATGTGAAGATAATTCTTTGGAAAATTGGCCCATAGTTTTCGAATCTTGCAAACAAATATTTCGTAACTTTTATTTCACATCTAGAGACATTGATTTATTGAGAAAGTACTATACTATTATATATAATATATGTATAGAAATGGTAGACAATTTTTTACTCTAAAATTGGTTGCAGTAAGTTTTCTTTTTTCATAAACATGTTACATGAGTATACTCTTTGCATCTCCAAGGAAAATTTCTTACTCCACACCCCCCCCCCTTTTTTTTTGTTCATTATGTTGATCCTACTTTATGTTCATTTGAAACTAAAAATAATTTTTTCCAATTATGTTTGGTATCTTTTTCTTATCCCATTCTTATTTGCAACAAGAGGATACTTTCACCTCTCTTTTCCTTAATGCAACACTATGTCTTGAATTTGTGTGCAGATAGAATTAGACTTCTGGAACTTGATAAAGCGGAATCAATGATGCCCACAACACGTGATCCTGAGCGCTCTTACCCCCCCCCCCCCCCCCCTTTTTTTTGGTACATTATGTTGATCCTACTTTATGTTCATTTGAAACTAAAAATAATTTTTTCCAATTATGTTTGGTATCTTTTTCTTATCCCATTCTTATTTGCAACAAGAGGATACTTTCACCTCTCTTTTCCTTAATGCAACACTATGTCTTGAATTTGTGTGCAGATAGAATTAGACTTCTGGAACTTGATAAAGCGGAATCAATGATGCCCACAACACGTGATCCTGAGCGCTACAGTTTTTGGGTATATCCATATTTATAATTTACTTTCTCTACTACCTGAAATATGGTTTTTATATTCTCATGTCCGGTATATGTTTGATTGCAGCTTGCTACTCTAACAAACCGGAGGCCATCAGAAAGATTACAACTCCTTCGCATGAGAGATACAAATGAGGTATTTATTGGATCCTTGTAACAAATCCTATGCTACCTGTTCCATGCTAGGCTGATTTTAACAATTTTGACCATATTCGTTTACTAGAGTTACTAATCCAAATAATCTGACCTATGAAGCACTGACACTTCAAAGTGGGTGCCATATCTGTGTCAAACACGTATTGGGATAAGAAAAAGATATGCCACGTGACATGTCAATATTTTTAGACATGCCACGTGACATGTCAATATTTTTAATTGTTATTTTTTTCCTAGACACTTTGAGGACACTTCACGGATACTTGTCCCGTTTTTGGACATGCCTTAAAACATTTTTATAAGTTTCTTTTCTATAAATTTTAGAAAGATGATTTGGAGTCCCAAGTAAAATACATGAAAACCAAAAAGGAGGAAAGTGAAAAAAAAAAAATTTAAAAAAAAATTCATCACATATACATTGATAACTCTTGTATCTTTCTGCCTTAAATTCATATCAAATATGTATAGCAAATAAAATAAAATATTTTTTTTGTTTTACTGAATCATTGCCGTGTTTGTATAGTAATTTTTAAGAATCGCCATGTCATGTGTTCCCATGTCTATGTTTATGTCCGTGTCCATGTTTTTTAAATCTGACCATGGGATGATAATTGCAGTTGCATACTCGCATTGTGTTTCCTATATGTCATGATTCAATTTGTTTCCTCAACTGAAAACAATTTTTAAAACTCATTTGCAATAATTGTTAATTAGTTTACCTTTTTTGCTTTTTCCTTTTTTCTTTTTGTGGGAATTTCCCCTGCAGAGGATAGGCAGGTCACTGGTTTACATGGGAGCAGAAGAACAAGGATATAGAGTGCAATAAAATAAAGTGTAACATATTTCATTACTTAAAAATTTTATTGCATATTTTAAGTTTATATACAGGCTATATTCAATATTCTTTGATCCACATGATAAAGATAGTGGATCTTCATTTCTTATTGTAAAAAAAAAATTAAACCCAAATTGAATTAATTTGAACCACCACAATTTTGCCTCTGCTTTAGCTCCCTATCTTGGATATGTGATCTTCTGTTTCTGAAAATAATAAAAGTCGAAAAATGTTTTTTTGAATCTATCGATGTATACCACAGTTTTGCTAATGTCACCTCTACCTTTGTCGTCATCGCCGCCAACACCACAATCGATGTCTCTGCCACTATCACCACCACCAATTTATCACCAACGTTGCCACCGCACCCACCACCACCATTAACCACCAACTACATTATTTTCAAAGTTACAACACATTATTAAATGTAATTGGTTGGCATAAAGCTCAAACCTAGAAGAAGTCCAAGATTAGGGAAGCCCAAGTAATGTTACAAAGAATGACTTGAATTTTTTATATTCCTTCTTATGTTGACTAAGACCCAGTTAATTCTATCCATCAGATCAGGATCAGAGAGACATTATTCATTTCTGGGTCCCATATCCCATGATATATGGATGAAATCATGGAATAAGGAAATGATACATGACCTTACCCTACCCATAGAGGGCAAAACCTCTTGAGAGAGGGTCCATTGCTAATTACACTGGGTAAAGGCCCCCTAGCTCATCCCAGCTGGATACGCGGCTTTGACTTGTTCGGTTGGTTAGTTAAATCAATATAACAACATTAGCTTTTGAGCACCTAAAGAATATACAGGGCAATCATTCACCTGTCTCAGAGTGTCACACTATCATGTGATATTATTTTATGGTACTTTTTAAATAAAATTAAAAATTTTACAGATGAAATATGATTTATTAACCTTTGTTAAGTAACTAGGAAATGAAGAATAATTTATTTAGTATGTGTTACAGTTTTTCGTTGATAGAAAATATCATGTAAACAATACTCCATTGGAGCATCTAGTAATATTCGTCTAACACATGCATTACTCTCTAATTGAATTTAAAATATTTTTTCTCACCGAACAAAGTCTGTCTTATTATTAGACTTTTATCACCGTCTCTCTTTCATACGAGGTTGCACGTCCTTCCCCTTACATGTCCCCAACATTCTCTGTCTCTCTCTCTCTCTCTCTCTCTCTCTCTCTCTCTCGTCCTCTCTCCCCATACAAAAACATCACTACCTTAACAAACTCTTTCCGTTCTACTCCCATGGAGGAGTTGCTTATAGCTTACCCACAATGTCTACTCCACCACCACCTCCTCCACCGCTGCCACCGCGCCGCCTAGCTCAACACCACCACTAATACTTGGCAATAACCACAACACAAAATGGGAGCCAAGGAGGAGAAACATGGGGTGTCAAACCCTCTCCCTGCACTCTGCTCCCTTCGCCCTCTTTTCCTCTGTTTCGTCGTCTTCTCCTCCATAAACCCCTGCATTGCTCAAGGGGATGTCTCTTCCTTCTCTCCTCCAATGTCAAAATACACACCACCTGATAACTACCTCATCAACTGTGGTTCACCTGAAAACACCCTCCTTGACGATGGTCGAACCTTCATGTCCGATCCCCAATCCTCTTCTTTCCTCTTCACCGACGAAAACATACTAACTTCTGTCAATTCCCTTCCCAACACCATCTCTCCTTTATATCTTACAGCAAGAATTTTTGATGATGAATCAATGTACAGATTCCTCATCTTCAAACCAGGCCGCCATTGGCTCCGCCTTTACTTCTATCCACTTCCACACCCGACGTACAATCTCACAACCGCTATCTTCACTGTCACCACCGACACCACTGTGCTCTTACACAGGTTTTCAGTGAAAAACAACACTACAGTGGTATTCAAAGAATACCTCATTAACATCACCTCTTCGGGATTCTCCATCAAGTTCTCCCCAATGAAGAACTCATTCGCGTTCATCAACGCTATCGAGCTTGTCTCTGCTCCTGACAACCTTATTTCAGATTCCGCGACTGCAATTTCCCCAGTTGGTGATTTCAATGGCTTGTCAAACTACGCGCTTGAAGTGTCTCATCGGTTGAATGTGGGAGGACCGGTTATAACTCCTGGAAACGATACGTTGGGGAGGACATGGCTAAATGATGGCCAGTTCATGACATTTCCACAAGGGGCTAAAGTTGTGTCTGTCATTCCTGACGTTGTCAAATACCCAGAAGGTGGGGCAACGCCTTTGATTGCCCCAAATTGGGTATATGCCACGGCTGATGATATGGTGGACTCCGGTGTGGCCAACACCAATTTCAACCTCACTTGGGTCATAGCTGTTGATCCAACTTTTTCTTACTTGATTAGAATGCATTTTTGTGACATTGTGAGTTTAGGCCTTAATGAACTCTATTTCAATGTCTATGTCAATGGTATGTTGGGTGTGTCAAATCTCGACCTCTCAACCCTCACCTCCGGCCTCGCGGTCCCTTACTACAAAGATTTCGTGATCAATGCCTCCACAATCGCCAACAGGTCCATCATGGTTCAAGTTGGCCCTGCTTCCACCGCTCTATCAAGCCTCCCAAATGCTATTCTCAACGGCCTTGAGGTCATGAAAATGAGCAACTCGGCTGGAAGCCTAGACGGTTTGTTTGCGTCCAATGGTGTGTTCAAAGGTCCCAAGTCAAGACCGACTTCAATTCAAATCGCTGCAGCGATTGGATTGGCAATGAGTGTAACAGCAATGTTGTTGCTTGTACTTGGCATGGCTCGGTGGCGAAGAAGGAGGCCTCGGGATTGGAATCAAAAGCGGGGCAGTTTTTCATCGTGGCTCCTTACTCTCAATGCCAGCCAATGTAGCTTCTTGTCTTGCAAGAGCAAGAGTAGCTACTCTAGTATCATGTCTTCTGGAATTGGATTAGGCCGGTTCTTCACTTTCAGTGAATTGCGAGAAGCGACAAGAAATTTTGATGAAAATGCAGTGATTGGTGTTGGAGGGTTTGGGAAAGTGTACATTGGGGAATTAGACGATGGGACAACGCTTGCGATAAAGCGTGGGAACCCGAGTTCAGCACAAGGAATTAACGAGTTCCAAACAGAGATTCAAATGCTTTCCAAGCTCCGTCATCGCCACCTCGTTTCGCTCATTGGGTACTGCGATGAACAGTCAGAAATGATCCTCGTATACGAGTACATGTCTAATGGCCCACTTCGCGACCACCTCTATGGCTCCAAGTCAGATCTACCTTCCTTACCATGGAGACAACGCCTTGAAATTTGCATTGGTGCAGCTCGTGGGTTGCACTACCTCCACACCGGTGCAGCCCAAGGCATAATCCACCGCGATGTCAAAACAACAAACATACTCCTAGACGAGAATTTTGTTGCCAAAGTCTCTGATTTCGGGTTATCTAAAGCTGGACCATCATTAGAACAAACCCATGTGAGCACCGCGGTGAAGGGTAGTTTTGGCTATCTAGACCCAGAGTACTTTCGAAGGCAACAGTTGACAGAGAAATCCGATGTGTACTCATTTGGAGTAGTCCTTTTCGAGGTTTTGTGTGCAAGGCCGGCCTTAGACCCTTCATTGCCAAGGGAACAAGTGAATTTAGCTGAGTGGGCATTACAACAACACAGAAAGGGCTTGGTTGAGAAGATTGTCGATCCTCGTCTTGTTGGAAGCGTCAGCTCAGAATCGCTAACCAAGTACGTGGAAGCCGCAGAGAAGTGCTTGGCAGAGTATGGTGTTGATAGGCCTTCAATGGGAGATGTGTTGTGGAACTTGGAGTTTGCTTTGCAGCTTCAAGAGGCATCATCAAAGCTTGATCCTATTGAAGATGATGATAATGAAGAACTCATTGCTTTGAATCAAATATCAAGCAAAAAAAACAATAAAGGAGAGTTGGCTATTGATGTGAGTGACGATTCAGGAGTAGTAATTGGTTCTCCTTTGTTTTTGCAAGATTTCCATGGAAGGTAAAAAGGGCATTTACAAGAAGAATTCAATTGCCGAAGGGTGTGTTTGGATGGAGTTGTTAGTAGATTGTATTTATGAAGAACTAATCTTCTTCATTTTGTTTGTTGTTTTAAAAAAAATTCTTGAATTTTTTTTTGGTTAAATCAAAGTTTGTTGTTTAATGATTAACCTTGAAAGTACTTAGTATGTTTTTTCTTTTATTCTATTTTATTTTATTTTATTTGATACATCGAAGGCTATTGCTAGAAGAAGGAAGATTCGAACCTTGACCTCTAAATGTGATGTGTTACTTTTGCAATCTACTTTAGAAATGTATCATATTAGCTATTCATCAATAATCTCAACTCCCTTCATATTTGTTTGTCATGTTTGATTCGCAAATTACATTGTGTGATAAGTTTTCCAAACAAATAATTATGGGAAGGGCATTTTGGTCATTTGGAGTAGAAAAAAATATTTGGGGATAAATTATTCCACATTCCAATAAAACAAAATAATTCCGTATATATAAGATAAAAGAATCTCTCAAAGTTTAGTTATTCTGGGCCAATTTGAAATTTATTTTATCCTAAGATTAGTTGATCAAATTCCACCTCTTATTTGCAAATTAAACATGGCTTCAGAATATTCAAAGCTTATTTGTGCTTTGAGGCTGTTTGGTATAACTTATCTGATCTGTTTATAATTTTTTATTTTTTATTTATTCTAAAAGTCTGTATCAAACTATTTATTGTAACTTCTGTTTACAATTTATTAAATAAAAATAATTTAAATAAACTAAAAATAATACTTATCTAAAAATTAAAAGAGGAGTACTTCTACTTTTAACTTTCTAATTATTAATTTTTTAATTTAATCCTGCACCAAACAAGCTCATGTGTCGAGTCAAAAATCTGCAATGACTTAAATTGAGACACTGATAAGCTCATCATGAGGATCTTTGAGCCACTCTTTGCACAATGTCTGGGTGCTTGAAAATGATGCCCTAGACCTCAAGTTAATATAGACAAACAACCCAAAATAGAGGAACATAAATCAAGATGTTTCCAAACATTGCTAATAATTTATATTTTCTTCTTGAAGTAACTACTGGAATACTACTCCGGCAATGCAGATCTTAGCCCTTGTTTGGTTTTCATTTTGAGACTAAAAAATCATGAAAGTCTAAATAAATTACGTAAATTAATAAGATAAAATGTCACATCCAAACCATAATTATTACATTTTTTCTCTCAAAAAAATCAAAAAATCTAAACCAAACAAGGCTAAAAAAATTCCAACACAAAAAAATTGATTATAAACGAAGCTTTAATTAACTTTGCGGCTTTGTTTGGTTGTGGAGAAATTTGTTAAGGGAAGAAGAAATAAAAAAGATAGTTACCAGCTCATTCTGTGAATTATATATTTTTTAAAAAAATACAATTCAACTATTTAAACTTTTCAAATCATATTTCAATACAAACTAACACAAATAAATTAAATTAAAATAAATCAAAACTTACAAACAAAGTCAAAATGTCCCAATATCAAGTAGATAAATTTATCAATATCATTACTAGTCACAAATTACTATTCCACAAATGCAAAACACATGTAAAATTTTTCACAATTTTCTCATTATCCAATTGAGAAACAAATACATAAAAAAATATTCACTCTATCTTATGAGTAAATAAATCCAATTAATTGAACTGTTAGTAATTATTCCTAGAAAAGAGTGAATAAATAAATAAAAATACCTTCAGCTTCATTCACTTTTTTCTTTTTTGACTATTTTCTTTACAAATCCAAAATCCAAACACAACATTAAAAGTTCATTTTGGTTGTGCAAATTGATCTTTTTTTTCCTTTGCAAAATGTAAAAACTTCATTATAAAGGTGGAAAATCATATAGAATTTCTGGATACAGAAAAACTACAAATAATCAAATATCACAACACAAGCAATACCAAGAGAAACAATCCAACCATAAAAAGACTAGTGCCTTTGATAAGCAAACAATCCAACCATCCCAAAACTAGGTATACCAAAGCATTAGAGATAGTAGTGCAAATTAAATTGTTTTATTTGAATCAATAAATTTGAATAAAAAAAAAATCACAATAAAACTATCTAACTTGAGCGCGCACGCGAGAAAGAGAGAGAGAGACAGAGAGAGAGATTTGGACAAAATTCCATTCCAATTTGAATTACACAAGATCTATCTCTAGCAATGAGACCAGCCTCTTTGGCTGGCTCTACAAACTCAAAGTTCAACCTATAACCATAATGCACAAGTAATATGAACAAAATTAAATTTATTTATAACAAAAAACAAGAAAGGGAGAAAACAAAAATAAAATTAAAAACACAACTCTGCATGTGCAAAAAAGAGACATTTACAAACAAGAAATGCCAAGTTTTCTGCCTCTTCTTCTCCTGAAGCCTTTTTAATTAAGAACCCCGAGCTGCAGGAGGAAAGCAGCGCAAAGATCCAGGAAGAGGAACTGTGGACCGCTCACTCTCTGCAGATCAAGCAGATAATTCTCCTCCCGAGTCTTGTACAGCTGCAATATATAAATCGATAGATCCATATCAGCATCAACCGGTTGATCATTTCATGTCAAAATAAACCACACTAAAGTAGAAACATTTCCCAAATGACAACTAAATGGCAATCTTTCACACGATGGCTAGGGCTGCAAACAAAACGAGTAGAGCTGAGCTTTGCAAGGCTCAAAGCTCAATAATAAAGAAAAAGTTCAGGTTATTCCATATCAATGCATATATAACTCAGTTTATATTGTAACATGAATAATTTATTTATCCTATTATTTAAATAATAATTTATTTATCCTATTATTTAAAGAAAAAGTTCAGCTGAACTTGGCTCATTTAATAAAGATAACGAATTGAATCAAACTGAACTGAGCCCAACTCATGAACAACTTGGTTCATTTGTGGCCCTAAATAATGGTGGTAAAGGTACATGGAGGGGTGGACCTGGGGGTTCAGCTTTTGCTATTGACAACTCATTCAAAAAGAAAACCCCATCAAATAAATGTTTCAGATCAAAAGGAGATCTTTTTTGGTCTATGGAACTCAAAAATACACAAAATTTTAACAGAATCTCAAAATTGGATGCATGAATATCAAAGTTAAAGCTAAAATGTAAAAGCCTGCATTGCCCGTTTCTTTCAAGGATAACTGAGCGTTAAAAGACCAGAATGACTCATAGGAAGATTCTAATTGCTCGATACAACTTGATTCTTTTCTAGTAATAATCAGAAAGTCAATTCGAAATTCACTTGATGTCAAGAAAATGGACCAAAAGTCAAGGAAATACACTCCTATTAGCTTAAACTTGTCATGGTGGTGATGGTATTCACTACTTTTTTACTGAAGTTCATAAGACCAGCCTTCAAAACTGAGACATTTAAACAGTTAAAAAGCGCATGATTCAGTTATAATGGTTTTATCATGTTTTGGTTTTTAGTTCTGTATGTTTCAAAAGTTTGGAAAATTGGGAACAAAAATTCGCTGGGGAACTTATTTTAAAAAATGGCAACAATTTTCAAAATTTGAGGAATAAAAAAAAACAAAAAACTAGTATTTCCACTTGTTTTCAAAACAAGTTTTTATTCTTGCCTGCCTCCCCACCCCTACGGCCACCCCCATCCACAACCTCCGACAACTCACAAAATACATATTTTTGTTTTCGTTTCTATATATTTTAAAACATGTGTAACAAACATATTTTTTGTTTTTAACCCAAAAACACAATAAAAATAATAAAAATAATTGTTTCCAAGAAACAAGGAACTTGCAACGTTACCAAACGGCACCTATCAATCATTTCAAGATTACAATGATAAAACGAATTAGAATCATCAAATATTACTTAGATATTCATGATGGAAAATACATACACAAAAAGTGTAGGTTTCAAATTACATGTTCTAAATTGTCTGATCATGACAAGTTCAGGAATGGGTAACCTCCTAAGCAAAACAATCTAGCGATGCAATTATGCAATATGATATTTTTCAGAAAGTATCAAGACAATGCATAGAAGAAACAGATGGAAAAACAAAATACCTGCAATTCAAACTTCACAATGCTTTGAGCACGAAGATCATTATGAATAATGGCAGATTCATCACTGATATAATGGTTATCGTGATCATGATTACTACTCATGCCTCCAGGATTATGCAAGTCATGAAACCACCGGCACTTAATGTTATAGTGGCCAATCTTTTTCCAACGCACATTCAGTTCTTTCAGAGCCAAGAGAACCTGTGTCATTATCTCACGAGGATGGGCTGGAGACTGACCAATTAATAAAACCAGAATCAGCAACAATTATTGTAGTTCAATAATTTGTTGCTGACAAGATCATTACGGCTAGTAATGGAAGAAAAAAAAATAATGGAGGACATTTAGGCCTACATGGTACTACTTTCATTTATTCTCACTTCCGTTTTCGATTCTCATTTCTGTGTTTTCAAATATAAAAGCAATGGAAAGTTTAAAAACATAATTGCATCTGTATCAATTCCACTTTCTGTGAAGTCGAATTTTTTTGAGAACACAGAAAAATGGTCATCTTCGGATTTTATTTTATATTTTGAACAACGTTCAAAAACATTTTCAGCCAAATAATTCATTTTCTGTATTGTTTTTTTCATTTTTGTTTTCAAGAACTATTAACAGTCCTCCAGAACAGAAGTAACGAAAGAAAAGAACAATTGTGGACATTGAGGCCCGCAAGATACCATTTTCTTTTATTCTCATTGTGGTTTTCACTTTTCATTTTCTGTCTTATTTGAATATAAAAAGATGGAAACTTTGAACATAATTGCAGTGCATCATTCATACATTCTGCAAACCTATGAAGAACGGACACTTCAAAAATAGGTGCCATACTGTAGCGGTGTCGGACATAGGGACACGCATGTCCAAATATGGATGATTTATTAATTTGTTTAAATGTAGTGGTTTATATATGTATTTATATTGAATTAATGTTAGTTTTTATTAATTTTGATTGTTTGGTAACATAATATTAATCTACATAACAAATATATATAAAATAAAATAAGTAAAAATTTGCCGTGTCCCCCACCGTGTCCATGTCCCCATTTTTTTGAAATTACCATGTCCCGTGTCTGTATCCGTGCTTCATAGCTGCAAACTCAATTTTTTTGAGAACTCAGAAAATGGTCAGTCTTCAATATTAGTATAAAAAATTTCTGCCAAATGCATTTTCTGTATCGGTTTTTTGATGTTTTCAAGAACTATTAACATTTCTCCAGAACGATAACAAGCAGGTCCTCAACCTCTAGTGTTCTTTTTGAAAGTCAAGAAACATAATAGATGGTTCAGAAAAAAATAAAATAAAATTAATGAGTTATTAAGTTGTGCTGGTGGAGCTCCTGAACTACACTAGGGAATATCTTGTTCATATTTATGCATCATGATATGAAGTCTAAAAGCAAGTAACTTGAACCTGCAGTCCAAGAATCCACTTTCTCTCACTTGGCAAGTGGGACCTCAAACCAGAATCTTGAAGAAAGTGGGGTCCAACTGCTAAATTTAAAGCATCATCTGCATGCATGCCAGCAGAACCACTCTCCTGAAAAGTACATAAACAAATTCCAAGATAAGGCGTCTACATCTAAAATGCATATTTACATACACAACATCTACACGTATAAAACCAATGCCATTTGGACAAATCTCCAGGGTTGGCCCATTTATGGACATTCTGCATATACACTAAGTGTTAAAAGCAACATTCATGTTTAGAAGCAGACAAAAGTAACTACCTGTAAGGTGAGACATAATACCTAACACATTTAATTATTTTTATGAAAATCATGAAATATTATTTCTTTTGACTTTTCATTGAAAATTCTGCAAGGCCTTATTGTAAAGTTCACAGCTTAAAGAAGCATTTTACATAACAATCTTTGTAAGGTTATTGGCAATATTTAGACAGAAGTAGCAGATCTTAACCATCCTAAATAGGAAGGCTATTTCTCTTCTATACATAATAAATAAAATATGACTCTGGAAACAGTTTATTGAAGAGATGACATCAATAGACATGCTGTATCAATGGGAAGAAGAGATGACTTCCAACTAGCTTTTTCCCTAAACCTAACCAATGAATGATAGGCTGACTTAGGATAATAGAAAACAATTCAATCAAAGACAGGTCGGGGGCCGGCGGGCATGCCCAGCCTTAGGCATGAGCATGCATTGATATAATTTAGGCTCAAGATCATATAACATATCGCTGGCATAGCACAACCTTTTACTACAGAATGAGCCTCAAAGCTTTTCAAAAACTCAAGATCTGATAAAAAAAAGGTCTCGAAGAGTTGGTTCACACAAAAATAAAAATAAAAAATTGAGACTGGTGGGTCGTGATTTCCTCATGTTGAAGGCATAAATTAAGCAGGCTTGAGTCTGTAAAGATCATCTCTCAAAGCATTTCTCATGAGCAACGCCTCCTAGCATAAACCTAAAACATTTTCTTTTGTTTTGTAAAAAACAGGGAGAAATTCTATTTTCTCTTCTATTTACTATGACGACAAAGAATCAAATTATCACTATATTTATTCGTTTATCCACTTCTTCCTCCAAGTGCAGGATAACCCCAAAGTGTTTTCTCATGAGCAATACCTCCTAGAATAAACTTAACACATTATTGTGATCCCATTTAACCAGAAACATTGGATATAACATGGTTCTAGAATAAAAAGGTAACCCAATTGAGGATAATTATCAAAGTCTAGCAGCTAGTGTTAAAAGTGCCTCAAGGGAAAGTTACCAGAAACCAAAATGATGTTAACTTCTAAAGTATGATCACATATACGAGAAATATAAGACATGCGACTCCACAACAATACGTTTCCACATTAAAAAAACTAGAAATAGTATTAAAGTAGACCAGAAATTAACAATTTCACACACCAAAAAAAAAAAAAAAAAAAAAAAACACACACATCAGAATGAGCCTCAAAGCTTTTCAAAAACTCAAGATCTGATAAAAAAAAGGTCTCGAAGAGTTGGTTCACACAAAAATAAAAATAAAAAATTGAGACTGGTGGGTCGTGATTTCCTCATGTTGAAGGCATAAATTAAGCAGGCTTGAGTCTGTAAAGATCATCTCTCAAAGCATTTCTCATGAGCAATGCCTCCTAGCATAAACCTAAAACATTTTCTTTTCTTTTCTTTTGTAAAAAACAGGGAGAAATTCTATTTCTCTTCTATTTACTATGACGACAAAGAATCAAATTATCACTATATTTATTCGTTTATCCACTTCTTCCTCCACGTGCAGGATAACCCCAAGGTGTTTTCTCATGAGCAATACCTCCTAGAATAAACTTAACACATTATTGTGATCCCATTTAACCAGATACATTGGATATAACATGGTTCTAGAATAAAAAGGTAACCCAATTGAGGATAATCATCAAAGTCTAACAGCTAGTGTTAAAAGTGCCTCAAGGGAAAGTTACCAGAAACCAAAATGATGTTAACTTCTAAAGTATGATCACATATACGAGAAATATAAGACATGCGACTCCACAACAATACGTTTCCACATTAAAAAAACTAGAAATAGTATTAAAGTAGACCAGAAATTAACAATTTCACACACCAAAAAAAAAAAAAAAAAAAAAAACAGCACCATGGATTCCTGAAACTCAGCTCCTAGATAGCCACTGGAAAGAGGAGACCGATTGTCAAACAGCAAGTAATATGCAACAGTTGCCTGAAATAAACTGTAGTAAGATATACAACCAAACTGATAAACAAACTAAACATGCAAATCATATAAGAATCAGATGAGGTATACATCATTTTGTATTCTGTTTCGAAGAGATTCAACCAAATGGTTCTTGTCCAATCCCATCTTAAGCACTTCTTGAAGAACATCCTCATCAATCTGCACCACAGTAAGTAACCCAGTTCATTTAATCACGTAAAACAAGTACAATAAATACATATTTTGAGCAGCCTCATTAAAATTTTAATCTCAAGTTCCTACACTTTTCCCCCATTAATTCAAATTTTTCAGGTACTCACAATGTAAAATCTGTAAACTTAAATGCAACAACTGAAACTAAGATCTCTCTCCCAAGTTCCAAGCATTTGGTAATTTCCTGGAAACAACTATGACGTCTGGAATCAGTTATTGGCTACTGAAATCCACTGTACTTTCCTTTCCCATTAGGACTTCCAACTTACTGTTTTCTTTTATCTACTGATACGTTAGAACTTGATTGCCTTATGGTCTATTGCCTTTGATGGTTTCTAACAAAATAATCTCCATCTTGACTGACTTCTAGAAATGTATTAAATTGTTTTGTGCTTTTAACTAATCTAATTCAAATAAGTTTCCGTCAAGCATGAAAAATATCAACCAAAAAAAAGAAACACCAAAGTCAATGAACCTAATTTTAGAAAGTCCTTTTTCTTTTTCTTTTTTCCCTAGGGTTTTGGACCACTTTGCTCACGATTCATGATTGATGCATAAAATTGGATTATGACACTAGTCCTCTTGAAAATTATATTTTTATGGAAAATGAAATACATAACCCTATTGTTAACCCTATTTTCTCACCTCTAGACAAAAAGTGAGGGGCTCCCCCCTGCATTTATTAATGTGGGTGTTCCTTGTGTCTAGGAGTAAGAAAATGGGCTTTGCATAGCAAACTCAATTTTTTAAAGACAAACAAATAAGTGCCCCTCTTTCTTTAGGCTATACTTGGAAGGTAGGAATGGAGAAGCAGAAGTGAAATGTAACTTTAGGTCTTCTTTATTCCATAGTTTAGGTGTGTCTTAGACATGTTATTCCAATTTCCAAGTGTTACCAATTCAATGCACCATGAGATAGAAAAAATAAGTGGGAAACTCCACAACCCCCCTATCAATATTTCGCATTCCTAGACTATCAAAATGAACAAGGAAGGGTAGCCCACAATATTTAAAATTCTATTATTTTCCTTTATGAGATTCGTGACTTGCCTCAAATGCATAATGACATAGACATAAAAATGTCATTTCTAGTAATGCAACTCCTGGTAATAACATTCCCAATCTTGATCTTTTATTCCTCCCATCCAAATGGGGGTCCTAGTTTTTGCCATTATCTTTCAAGATTTGATTGTTCTTCAAATCAAAGTGTTTTGTTCTTTGTCTATGCTAATGTTCTAATGTTTCATGTGAACAGTAAAATTTAAAAAGATCCTAAAATATATTGTTATTATCTATGCTATTTCAAATTTGTCTTATTATCTATGCTATTTCAAATTTGTCTTTATGGAAATATTTATTAGAGAATTGAGTCTCACATAGCAGACCAAAAATACTGTAATTTCTTGGTGAATTTTTCTAAACTTCAAATTTTCATTTCTATTCTTTCTTAATACGTATTAATTGCATGTTACATGGATATTTTCCTTTGTGTGATTCCTGTTGAAGCATAGACTAAGGGGGCGGGTGCAAGGCAGATGGTTTTAAAACAGACTCCCCATTCATTAGAAAACAGTAACATTAAGTAGGCAGCAAATAGTTCTCTAGCTATGATACATGGTAACTCTTAACATCCTCGTTAGCATTTGCAAACAAATGAATAGCCATGAACATACCTTTTTTATAAGCTGCACTGGATCTGGTGGCGGAACAGCTAAATAGCGAGGAAGATGAGTTTTGAACCAATAATGCTGACGGATTTCAGGAATGGATATTCTCTTCATTGGGTCAACCACAAGCATCCTCGGAATCAAGTTCCTTGCTCCAGGTGACAAATGGCTAGGAAGAGTATAAATTCCAGCCTGAATAACAGAATCAGAATTAACTGAATGATCAACACCGAAGGTGACTAGTTTTAGGTTACATCAACTGATTTGCAAGTTTGATCTTAAGGCATGAGACCAAGTTTCTCTACAATCCACAACGTAATTGTATATCTAAACAAAATTATATATTATCTGACTTCAAATTAGATCATAAGAAATACCTTTATTTTCTTGAAGAGGTTTGGAATATTTTCATCATCAAAAGGAAGAGTGCCACAAAGAAGAGCATACAAGATAACACCACAACTCCAAACATCTATCTCGGGTCCAGCATATAGCTTACCTGAAACGACCTGCACAAAAAAATCATGTGGTAAAACTTCATAAGTCCAACCGCTAGCCTTGTATTGCATGTTATAACTCTTTTATTTTTATTTTTGATAAATACATGTTATAACTCTTTTTTATGACAGATAGCATTAGTTTAAACCTCGGGAGCGGCATAATTTGGGCTTCCACAACTTGTCTTTAGAAAATGGCCATCCCGCATAACATTGCTCAAGCCAAAATCAGCTATCTTCACATTGCCTCTGGAATCTAGAAGAAGGTTCTCAGGCTTAAGGTCTCTATGAACCACCATGTTTCTGTGGCAGTACTCCACACCAGAAATAATCTACAAGAGAAATAATCATAATAACATTACGATCAACACCAAGAATAAAAATCTCAATTGGCCGCTGATATAACAAATGCAGTAGCAAAACATCTCACCTACAGTGGAGAAGACAAAAAAATAATAATAACACAAAAAGAAACATAGAAATTCCTACCTGTTGGAAAAAACTCCTAGCTTCATCCTCCTGTAATCTACCCTTCTCTACAATGTAATCAAATAGCTCCCCAGACTTTACATACTCCATAACCACGTATATGTCTGTCGGTGTCTCTATCACCTCATAGAGTCGTATAATATGTGGATGCACAAATAACCTACATATTTTGATTTCTCTTCTCACTGCACAAGGTCCGGTATGTTTTTTTCAAAATCTCATATTTCATCTTCAACAGAACACAAAAATAAAATTGAACAAAACTAAACAGATAAAAAGCATCAACTCAGATGAAATTAACATCAGCTGTTGCTGGATCATAATCCAAAAAATGGTGCTAGAGAAAATCCATCATATATAACTTCATAAAAAAGTGAATTAACCACATAAACATAAGGTCATACCTTTTTCCTCCATTTCAGGGCTCTTCATTTTCCGACGGTTAAGGATTTTGATAGCCACTTTGTACCCTGTCAATAGATGCTCTGCGATTTTCACTTTACCAAATGAACCATGGCCAAGAGTTTTTCCAAGCCTGTAGTTTCGTAGAAGCATATCGGTACCAGTGCCTCTTCCTGGTGCTCCATCCATATTCCTGTCATAAAACCAAAGCAACAAATTCAAGAACAAGCATATTCGTAGAAAACAAGCAAACAAGAAACATTTTGACCAAAATTCATGTGCATGCTACTTGAGGCTTGTCCTAACACTTGATGGATCACAGAGATTCTAGTTTACATGGCAGTAGTAATCAAGCATGCAGATGCATATTGAACTTCATTATAGGCAACCAATATTTTTTCCTTCAAATCTGGCAGCAGGAACAATTCACATTGAACAAGAATTTCCCAATCTGGTCATATTCATCTGTCCTGCTCATCTCCCAGATTAAACCCATTGTTTGTCACATGTACCAATGTATGTGACATGCACTGTTTATCATATGTACCAATGAGCATGTTGAGTTGTGGTTAGGGAGGAGGTGATGGGATGATGGATTACTTCTTCAGGCATGGAGAATTTGAAAAGAGTTTAAATGTCTCTTTTATTACTTTGATCCCAAAGAAAAGTAGCAAATAAGATATTAAGGATTTTAGGCCTATTAGCTTATTGAGGGGAGCATATAAGTTGCTTGCTAAAGTATTAGCATTTAGGTTTAAAAGCATGGAAGGAGGATTACTTGTGGAGGGAAGACAAATCTTGGTGGTGGTGCTAGTGGCAAATGAGACTATTGACTCAAGGCTAAGGAGTGGGGTCCTTGGAGTGGTGTGAAAGCCTAACATCGATAACGGATACGATCACATGTGCTAGGACTTCCTCATTTATGTGATGGAGAGGATGGGGTTCGGAATGAAATGGATGGAAAGCTTTAAGGAGAGTTGTGCAAATGGCTCCTTGGTAGTGACATCTCATTTTTTGTTTGCAAATGATAATATTATATTATGTGGAGTAGGCATGACACAATGAGGATATTTGAGGTGTGTTCTTTTATGTTTTGAAGCAATGTCAAGCTTTAAGGTGAATCTAGGGAATTCAAAAGCTCAGAGCTAGTACTAGTGGGGGAGGTTCCCAACATTGATTTGTTAGCTTCCCATCTTGGGATACAGAGGGTTGTTTTTTCCACTTCCTCTTTTAAAGCTTAGTTAGTTTCGCATCTGATGGTGGAGCACCCCAACTAGGGAAGGAGACTTGGGTATAAGGACATTAGAGATTGTCAATAATGCCTTACTGGGGAAATGACATTGGAGGTTTGCTTGCGAGCGTGATAGGTACTGGAGTGGTTGAGGGGAATGGACATCTTTAGAAGTTGAAATGTCTTGTGGCCTTGGGATCTAGAAGGGGATTAGGAAAAGTTTAGGAGGAGTTTGAGAAGCATACTTTTGGTGGGGAATGGAAAGATACTGAGGTTTTGGCTGCATAGATGGAGGAGAGATGAGAGATTGACCATGCTTTCCCCTTAGTTTTTCATGTCGCAGATAATGAGGAAGCTATAGTAGAGGAATTTTGAAAGACAAGGTTAACAAGTTTTTAGGACATCGATCTACGGAGAGGGCTACAGGAGTGGAAGTTGGATAAATTTATAGAGCTTCTACAGAGGTTGTATGGCATATCTACCATTGAGACGGGAAAGGATTCCTTGAGATAGAGAGGTTGACAAGATTGGGGTGCTTCTAGGTGAAGGTTTTTTATGAAGTTTTAGTCTGTTTATTCCTTAGAGAGCCATTTGGCACTAGGGCCCCTCTCAAGGTGGCTGTTTTTGGTGTGTTGGGCATAAATTAATTTCGCTAATAAATAAACAAACAAATACAATTAGGCTATGTTTGAATTAAGTATCAGTAGATTTAAAAGAGAGAGACAATTTAGGAACTAAAATCTCCATCAGAATATTCTTATTTATGACGTTAACTGTAAAACTTCCTTTAAAGGAAAACAATTTCATAAATTTAAGATCCCGTCCGCTCTATATAAGGATCTAGCCTCATTAGGGGGAACCCTCGGACATCAATTTCTAGTCCATTATATACATCCTCCTCATCCATTCAATCTAATAATTCAGGACACATGACACATGGGGGATAAGCATGAAATATATAATTTTATATATTTATTATATGTTATATATATGAATATATAATGCAAAGATAATAAAAATGCAATATGACACTAATCCCTATAAATTAATATTGGTTTTATTTTATTATTATATCTTAAACTGTTTTGTTCAAACTTATAATTAGTTTTGCATGTCTAATTGATAGACACGTGTGTTTAAGAGATACACACGCGTGTCCTCCAAATGTCCAAAGAGCAAGGTTCTGAAAATCGATTGCAGTCGCCGTAACAGTGGCGGTGGCGCGGTGGCGGGATATAAAGGCCGTAGCGTAACGGTTGCGGTAACCGGAACCGTGAATTTTTTTTATTTTTCGCACAATTTAAAAAAAACTTACTGATACGCATATTTTTTTTTTCATAATCATATTTATTGGGTTTTAAAATAAATATTGATCAATTTTCATAAATTTTTAAATATGATCCAATATATTTCATATTTTTAAATCACTATAAACTGAGTTTTTTTCATTTTATTTTAATAATTAACAACTTTATATGTCATAAATTCATATTATTCTTGTGGCAACCAAAAAAAATTATTGGATTTAGATGTATAAAATTATTTTTTTAATTATTATACTTGTGGAAGCATATGTAACTTTTAATTTGAATAGTTTTAAAAAATAAATTATACATGCTAATGTAGTCATATAAAAATTAAAAAATAAATTATAAAGAAATTTTTTTTGTTTGGGTTTGGATCACTTGAATATTCATTCTCTTTTTGGATAACTAGTAAATAAAAATAAAATAAACTAATCAAAAAAAATTGACATGTATAAAAAATGTATTAATATATAATTATAGGTGTTATGTTTTCTAGATATTTTACAAAATATCAATCACTAAATAATGACAAAAGTAAAAGAATAAATAATAGCCTAAATATATATGTAAATAGATAATAATCGCACTTATTATTATTATTATTATTGTTGTTGTTGTTGTTGTTATTATTATTTTCAAACAATATATAGATAGACAGACACAAAAAAAATGGTTAAATGATAGCAGCTGAATAGAATAGCATAGGTCTTACAGTTTTAACAAATCAATAACATGTTCTTCATCTTCTCTCTTCTCTCTCTATCTCTTACTCCTCCATCTTCCTTTTTCATCTTCCCTCTTCTCTCTCTATCCGTTTTCCCCCATTTTTAGTTTTTTTTTTAATTTTTTTTCGAAAGAAGCAGTTTAGAACCGTTACGTAACGGTGCGTAACAGGCCTTTACCGCACCGTTACAACACTACAGCAGCCGTTACGGCCAACAAACTTGTGAATCTCAATCACACTGCAAAAGCGGCCGTAATGGGTGGCGGTAACCACCAAAACCGTTACGTAACGGTTGCGGCCACTTTTTAAAACCTTGCCAAAGAGTGTCCAAGTCTTTGAAAAATATTAAAAAATAAGACACGTTTTGAAGAGTGTCAGACACGTGCTGGGGAAGTGTCCAAAGAGTGTCAGTGTCCGACATGGACACAACAAGGATACATCACCTTCTTAGAAGTGTCCGTACATTTTTAGGTTGTAATGGTGTGGTAAGCACTAGATTAACTCTCTTGTAATTATGAACCAAATTTTCAATGGAAAGCTTCACAAATTCACATTCATAAGTGGCATTCTTCAAATCTCTATTGTTTGATGGTGCCAGTAGGAATGGCAACGGGCCGGGCCGGGGATCACACTCCCCGTCCCCGATCCCCGATCCCCGATCGTGAAAATTCTCTCAGCCCCGGCCCCGATCCCCGACGGGGAACCTATTACCACCCCCGGCCCTGCCCCCTAACGGGGATCAAGTTTTCCCGACCGCAAAAATTCTCCGGCCAAAAAAAAAAAAAAACAATTCCAGAAAATACAGAATTCATCAACATCATCAACAACAACATTTTCAACAGATCTAATAGATCTGAGCTCAAAAAACATCTAACAAATAAAACAAATTCTGAGCTCTTACAGATCTAACAAATCAAAAAACTCATCAATTTCATCAACAGCAGATCTTCATCAACAACATCTTCATCTTCATCATTTTCCAAATCTGAAGAAAAAAAGCAAAAAACAAAGAGAGAGAGAGAGAGAGAGAGAGAAAAAAAACTATAGAGAAGGAGATACCGTGAGAGAGAGACGAAGAGATACCGTGAGAGGGAGAGAAAGAGCCGCCGCTAGTGAGAGAGAGAAGGAGGAGTTGCCACCGTGACGCCGTGAGGGAGAAGGCCGGTGAGAAAGAGAGGAGGAGCCGCCACCGACCAAACCGTGAGGCGGGGAGAGAGAGAGAGAGAGAAAGAGAGAGAGAGGATCCTTTGAAAATCGGTGGTGAAGGAGGCGTCGGTGAGGGAGGAGCGGCTATGAGGGAGGCGGTCGACAGTCGTGCGTGAGAGAAAGAGAGAGAGAGGGGGGGGCTTGGGTCTTGTGTTTGTGTGAGTGAGAGAGAGAGAGGGGTAGGCCATATGTTGTTAATCAACCAAACACTAAACACTGAGCACACAGATATATCATATATATATATATATATATAAATAGGATCGGGGGCAAAACGGGGCGGGGTTGGGGCCGAGGCTGGGGTTGGAAAATATATCCCCGTCCCCGGCGGGGCCGGGCCGGGCTGGGGTTGGAAAATATATCCCTGTCCCCGGCCCGAATATCATCGGGGATTTATTTTTGAATACCATCCCCGGCCCGTCAGGGGTATTTTTCAGGGAAAAATCACTCAATTCGGGGTTGGGGGATTGGGTTCCCGTCGGGCCAGGTTCAAATTGCCATCCCTAGGTGCCAGAGCTATAGAAGCAGATCTGACCATGCTTTTTCAACACAATCCTCCTCCCAAACACTTCCTCATCCAACCTTTCCCAACAATACTCCACTACCACATGTTCTAAAACCTATTTGTGACAAACTTCTATGATCCCCTTTCATTTATGTATTTATATTTTAATTGATAATTAAGTTTGGTCCAATGTGTTATCATGTCAATTCCAATTTGTTCTTGTTCTTCACTGGGATAACAGCAGGTGCCAGGGTTAAGTCATTCTTATATTGCCCAGTCTCACGCCTACTGATATCATATTGGATTACAGTTCTCAGATTAAAACTTAAGTTTTAATTACTAGGCTAGGCAACAAAGAGATCAATGTCTTAGCTAGATAGTTGATTCTGTTATGTCTTGGATCAAGTAACAATGCATAGCACTTCCTTTGAAGTTTAAGGTGTACACGCTTCAAAGCATTTATTTTCTTTATGGTCCTGCAAACAAATTTAACTACCAAAACTGTCTGTTTTCTATATCAGAATACCAAGAAAAGACAGAATAATTAACAGATAAATTGCCTCGGTAATCCAAGAAGTTCCTAATCCAGGTTTTGTTCTCCACGTACTTGCTAGACACAAACTCAAGTGCAATCTCTTGGCATCTCTGTCTCTACTGAATTTAAAAGTCTGAAAGATGCTTATTCCATAGCATGCTTTTTGTGTCTCACAAGCTACTGACGATGGTTCATATCCAAAGACAGAGAAATGCTATATAGATATATAGTTATATAAAGAAAGAAGAAGATCAAAAACATCATTCAAGTCAAAGCAAAGTTCACAACATATGGCCTTACTAAAACAAGAGGGGGAAAGGAGAAACAAAAGAACCAACAAATTTCACAGCACTCATATTAGACTACATCATCTCTATGCCCATAGCTATACCTTCTGACCACTTTCTTCTTCCTCAAACACTATCTTCTACTCTATCTCCGTAACAGTTACTATCTCCATCTCCATACAATCTTTTTGGATGTAAATGGGTTTTTTTTCTCAAATCTAACAAAGGTGAAACCACAGAGAGATCAAAAGCCCCCTTTTTCCCCATAATATTAACCCCCTACCCAAAACACACACACACACACCCCACAGGTTATTGTGGAATACAACACAGCACCACACTATTAATACAAGGTAATGAATGAGGATAATCCACGCATAATCTGGACGAGAAAATTTTCCTGCAGGGCAATGCATGAGACAGTCTAAATGGCTCAGGCAGCAGCTACCATTATAAACCTGGCCTTTTATATTGTTTGTTGTTTCATTAAGCTTTTAACATCTTAAGCACCCTCCACGCATATTGTCACAAAGTAACACTTGAATGAGGCTTCTATAGGGCTGACCCTTGCCATATTTATTCATCAGTCCTGAGCAGATGTGCCAGATGTACAACACTAATAAACTCCCAACACCTAGTGTGGAGCTTCATGTCTACCAATCTTAATGACCACATCATTATCAACGTTACACATGCAGGGAAACTCCAGATTCAAAGCAAAACTAAAAACTTATCTTGTAACAATGAATCAAGCAATCAACTTCATGATGACAACATCTTTAATCAAACAATTGTTCCCACCGATTCAAATATCATAAGGTGTCCTAACCCACTTACACATTTATACTACTATAAAATGTCTTCTCTATTAGAGTAAAAAATAACATAGACCCTCAATACCTCCAACAGATTGCTACAAACAAAAATTAAAAATATTCCGAATAATCGTTATTACCATTGATGATACCTCATTATAATAAGAATATATAATGTAATTCAATCTCATATTATTGAACCCCAAATCCTTCTAATTGGGTCTAGCATTGCCTACTTTCACTTTCAATTACAACAATCATGTGGGAGTCCTCCTCAATCTCATGTTGCTAGTTTCTCAAGATCTATTCTTTGCTCAAACAATTTAAAACATTGGACTATCAAACAAACCAGAGAATAAACTTTGTGCTACCCACAACCAACCATAAAATCAGTAAAAAAGAAATAAAATCAAACACAACCAAGACTAATTTTATTTTTTTTTCTATATTTTCTTGGATTAGTCTAGAAAAAATATATATAATTCATCAGCTTTGCTACCCATGTTCTTAAATTGTTCATAAACTTTGAAATGTCGTACCAAAGAAAGAAATTTTCCACAAACTGATTACTAGCTATCAGCTGCATAAAACAAAATTAAAAAGAACAATCTAAATCTATAAATCACAAGAAAGTAATAAATTACCAATATGTCTAATTCTAACAAGATCAACAATTTTGAATTAAAACCCTAAAATTATAATCTTTCAAATTTCGCAGAAACGCAAACAAATATGCTAGAAAGAACAGTCGATGAAACAGAGAATCTGAGATCGTAAATACAACACAATATACTTAACCTAAAAAAAATTGTGAATACAATATATATCAAAATTTATAGAAATACATTGAAACAACCTTTATATATATACGGAGACAGAGCTGATAGAAGGGTAGTGATCGCGGAACAATTGAAACGTAGAGTTTGTATTTTTTGATTCCTCGCTAGCAATACTGTTTGTTTGTTGTTGTCGATATTGATTGTATATTAGGAACAATTGTTCATCATTACACGCTACTGGGTCGAACCGTATATGAACGGCTCAAGAGAACCTTCTTTCTTTGGTCCGAAACGGCTCAATCGGAGGCCTTGGAAAGAAAACTGGCCGTGTTTGGTTGTGATTTTAAAATGTGATTCAATGTGGTAGTTTAAGTATGGTGTTTGGATGGAATTGTGGAATTAATTTTTTACAGCTCTGCAAAATGCTTTATCTGTTCTGTCAAAATTGAATGCGTGTTTCAATTTTTTTTTTTAAAACGGGACGTCCGGGCGGTTGATCGGAATAGTGATTTTTTTTTTTGCAATTGATATATAATCGAAAAAAATATTTTCTGAAATTTTTAAAATTTTTTATGTGCTTTAAAATAATTTTGAGTTGTATGAATTGTAAATTTTTGTATCAAATTTCAAATGTCACATCAACAATTCCCTAATCAAAACTCTTTTCAAAACTATTTTCAAAACTCTTTACCAAACAAATTTTCTACACTCAAATTATAATTCCACAACACACAAACTCAAAATACAACTCATACTCTCAAATCACATTTACAAAACTCTACCAAACGCTACCCTAGTTTCTACCTGTTAAAAAAGCGTTGGGATCCTCTAGAGTGAATTGCTAGAGTGATCTCCTACAGTGATCCATGGATAGCCGACACGTGTTGCACTCAATTGCCAATGGTGGAGATTTAGCCTGAGTAATTTTGAAAAAAAAAATTCAAAATTCAAATTTCTGGGTTTCAGAGAGTTAGAGAGAGAGAGAAGGGCTGAGAGAATGAGAGAAGAGGATTGCCGGCCCGGCCGCCGCCGATGCCCTTCCCGCCATACTCCAAAGAATCACGATCTTCCCTCTCCTCTTCTTCATTCTCTCTTCAATCCTCTTTCTCTTTTTGATAGATATGAGAAAGCTAACACAATAATACGCTTGATTTGATCCACATGACAAGGTTTCTTAATGGATGGATCGATTTTGTGTTGTTGGACTTTGTGTTGTTTAATTGGGACAGAGTTTTGAGGTCTGGTAGGCTTCTGTCCAAAGATTGATAAAGATGACAAAGAGGTTTTCTTCTCATATATATATATATATATATCCTAGATCTGGACACAAACAAAACATAGGATTTTTGTGTCCCTCAAGGTCGGTTTTCTTGGATTTGGGCTAAAAAAGGTTGATTTATTTACAAACCTCTTTTGATCCTTTGGTATTTGAACAAATCTCCCCCAAAAAGAAATTTATTGTAGTTATTTTTCTGGGATTTCCTTGTTTTCTATAAAATTTTGATTTGTTCTTTGGTTTTGGTTAAGAAACAGGTTGATTCTCTTGTTTTAGGTTCTTTGTAAATTTTTGGGTTGATTTTAAGTTGATCTTCTTCTTTGTTTTAGGTTGATTTTCTTACCATTTCAGTTAGATTCAAAAGAGAAGAAGAAGAAGGGAAGGGGAGGAACGACGTCGTTCTGGGAGGGATTGATCTCAACCCTTGATTCGATGGGACAGGTGTCACGCTCTCATAAATTCACTTTACCAGATCACTCTAGGAATTCACTCTAGAGGATCCCAATGCGTAAAAAAAGGGGATTATCGCTCAGAATGAAAAAAAAAAAATCACAAAATATTTTTTGGGAAATTTACAAAAACAATTCAGGGTTTCGCGTGTTTTTCAAATTAAATCCCATAGTTTCAATTTTAACAAATTAAATTCTAGAGTTTCTTCAATGTTTCAATGTGAACCCTCCGTCTATATCCGTTTGATTGAACTAACAGAATCTGGACAAAATTCTCAGATTCAAGCACATATGTTCAAATACTTATAGCTCCCTAGTTGTAATTCCGTTTCGTCTTATTTTTGCATCATTGGATTCACCTCATTGCCTAGTTTTCATTCCATCCCTCATATGCCTTGTTCCATCTTTTTTTGTGTGCCCTTGGAACTCTGAAAGTTGGCCAAAAATAAGATTTTTTTTTTTCGTTTATCTTATATCTCCATACTTTTTCCTTCCTCCTTCATTTCCACAATTATTCTCTCTTTTCCTCTTCCTTCATGACCCTTTCCCCACTCTTATGTTTCTTTCTGTTCTTGTAACTCATATACATTCATACTCAACGACACTGTTGCCGTCGGAGGTTCGATGGCCACCACGAGCTCGGTGGAAGGGCCATGAAGGAAAAGGAAAAAAAGAGAATAATTGTGAAAAGAAAGTATGAAGGAAAAAGCATGGAGATAGAAAATAGAGGAGGAAAAAAAATTATTTTTTGCCAACTTTTGGAGCTTTGATGACATAAAAAGAGGTGGAATAAGGCGCATGAGGGGTGAAATGAAAACTAGGCCATAAGGTGAATCCAACAAAGCAAAAATGAAGCGAAACGGAGTTACGATGAGGAAGATACAAGTGCTTGAATATGTGGGTTCGAATATGAAAACTTTGCCCAAAGAAAGAAAAATCTTATTTTTGGCCAACTTTCGGAGCTCCGACAGTATGTAAAAAGAGGTGGAACAAGGTTTATGAGGGGTGGAACGAAAACAAGGCCATGAGGTGAATCCAAAGAAACAAAAATGAGACAAAACGGAGTTACGACGAAGGAGATACAAGTGCTTAAACATGTGTGTTTGAATCTAAAAATTTTGCCGAAAGAGAGAAAAATCTTATTTTTTTCCAACTTTCAGAGTTCCAACGGCACACAAAAAGAGGCGGAACAAGGTGTATAAAGGATAAAATGAAAACTAGGCAATAAGATGAATCCAATGACGCAAAAATAAAGCGAAACGGAGTTACGACGAGAGAGATACAAGTGTTTGAATATGTGTGCTTGAATCTGAAAATTTTGCCCAGATTCCGTTAGTTCAATCAAACGGATATAGACGGAGGGTTCACATTGAAACACGGAAGAAACTCCAGGGTTTAATTTATCAAAATTGAAACTATGGGGTTTAATTTGAAAAACACGAGAAATTCTAAGATTTTTTTTGTAATTTCCCCCCTTTTTTTATAAAAGCGTTTTCTAATGTTTAGTTGTGTTTTAAAATTCACTAGTGCTTGGGGCTCGAATTATCGAGGCTGTTATCATTTTTATTTTTTTTTAATTATTTGTTGGCTTATGTTTTTTTTTACTTATTTGTTGGGTTGTGTTGATTTGGTTTTTTTTTTTTTTTTTGAAGGGTGGACATCCCGCACCAACTTAGCCGTTGGATTGATTGGGTGATAAAATTGACTGATCAGTTAGGCTAGTTAAAATTTGTTAATTCCATATAATTTTTTACGAGTCCCTATTATATTTTTATTCATAACTGATCAATCAATGTTATCATCCAACCAATTCAACCCAACTCACTCACCTTATCACATAGGTTGAGTGAGTGCGGGATATCTAGCTTTTTGACACACCCTTACATATAACCACTCTTCTCTAAAATAAAAAAATAAAAAATAAATAAAAACAACCACCCAACAGAGCCCAACAAATAAAATAATAAAAAACACAACACATCCCAACAAATAATAATAAATAAAAAATAAAAAGAGGAATTCGAGGTATTCGAGCCTCAACCATTCGAGGCCCCAAACATTTCCTTTTTAAAATTGATGTATTAATAGTTGCTTTAGTAGTGATGATAGTAGTAGTGGTAAGATGAAAGTGGGAGTGGTGGCAGCGATAGTGGTGCAGCAACAGCAATAGTGACGATAACGGCGATAGTAGTTGTGCGGCGGCGGTGGCAGTGGTGGTGGTGGTAATAAGATAGAGAGAGTAGTGTTGGTAGCTGTGAGGCGTTAGAGGTGGTGGCAGGGACAATGGTGAATATGGTTGTGACCATGATAGTGGTAGAGGCGATGATGGTAGTGGTGGTAATGTGATGGCATTAATAAAACTTTAGTTTGAAAAATAGTTTCTGCTTTTTAAGAGTGAATTTTTTTTTTTGTTGCCAAAATAGACTTCTTTTCCATTATTTTCCATTAAAAAAATTGACTACAAAAAATGTTTTCCATTAAGATTTTTGTTTTCCCTTGTAGCAAAAGATAGAAAATATGAAAACTGTTTTCTACTCAAACAAACGAATATAATTAAAACAAAGGTAAAATAGGAATTTCAGGCAAAAAAACTAAAATATCACCCTTGTATTGACTCACAAGTATAAATAAATGAAAGATGAAAAGAAAATGAGAAATATAAAAATAAAACATTGTTGTCACTGTAAATAACAATATGGGGACAACAAATTGTATAATGCTTTATTTTATATTTAGTGTATTAGTAATGTAATGCTTCATACTATTTACAAATGAACATTCGAATAATTTGTTCCATTATTTTCCATCAATCAATTTTTGTGATTATGTGATAATTTATCAGTAAGACCCACTTGTGATTACGTGTTGGGAAGTTAAAATAAGTTTTTTTTTTTAACTAAAATTTATAAAAAGATAAAATAAGTTAAAACAATTAATAAAATAAAATGTTACATTAAATTCATAATTATTTCATTTTTTCTCTTACAAACACCACATCTAACTATAAAAAAATTTAATCATATTTCCAAACACACATATTTCAACCTATTAAAATAATTTAAAATTAAAATTGTCTTTTAAAATCGCCAATTTTCTAAACGAGGTCATAGTCAATGTGAAAGTACTACTTAGCCAATATATAAATCACTGATATTTTCTATTTCATTAATATTCAAAATGTAGTTTGTATATCTAATTTATTCTTAACATAGTGTTTGATTGGAGGATTTAAGAAGGAATTTGAAAAGAAAAAGAAAAAATGTAGGTAAAATGTAGATAAAATATATTTATATTTCATCTAATTTTACACAAATTCTTTTTTTCTTTCTAATTTTTTTTTTAAAAAAAAATTTCTAACCAAACACAGCGTAAGGACATGAGAAACGAAAGTTGCGAAGATACAGTGCGAGTAAACCTACAACTAATAGCAAGTGATACACATAACAATTGATGAAACCCTCCTACCCTACCTCAGCTCTGATGAGATTTGAACCTCCAACCTCTCTCATTCTCTCATTGAGTTTGTTGGCTCACCATTGTCTTTGGACCATGAAACATGAATGAGATGCAGCATCTCAGTTTGGATGGTAGTTGATCCAAATCA